GTAGCGAAATTGTCTAAAAGAGGATGGTCCAACGATAGTGGTGGTGGCTAGACAACTGTAACGAAGTTAGTGAACCCTCAATAGCTTGAAGCTCTTTCAACCTTCTCCATAAATAGCTTGAAGCTCTTTCAGCCTTCTCAATAGTTAGTGAACCCTCAATAGCGAAATTAATCATGTTCCAACTCTCCCTCTCATGAAATGAGTGATCATCTATTTATAAGTTTTGTGAGTAACATCCTCCATAAATATTGCATGAATCTAGATCATTCCATCAGACGACAAAGAGTGATTCCTGTGATAAGTTGTAGTTTTACGATCATTTAAGTGAATTAATAATGTTAGAAATAAGTGATCTTGAGCTCATTGCATTTGTCTCATTAAGACGCTCAATTTGACAATAAAATTGTCAATTTTGATGATTATTTGGTCCCCAAAAATTTATCTCAAAGCTTCTTATTATGCTTAGAATGAATGATTATGTCATCTGGTTCATCTCACTGAGACACTTCATTTGATCATAAATTAGAATTTGATTATATTTTTAAATCATATATTTAAAGCTTTCCATCAAAATAGGCATCGAAATTCATATGAACCAATCTGATTTTTTAAGGACGTATCAAGCCCCAATACCAGAAAACCTAGAAACCCTACCTAATAATTCTCCACTCCTCTTGAGACACTCCAACTTTACTCTGCAATATACACCATCTGTCATTCCTTCCACTACTTCACATCATATGCAAACTAGATTTAGATTGGTAATTTGATGCTCGGTCAAATCTTCATTCTTCATGTTACAGTCTCTGATATTCAAGTCCCACTATTTATAATCGAACAAAAAAACTCCAAAATTACAACTTGTTAAGTCATATGAGTTTTTTTCTTGACAATAACAAAGGACTCGCTCTTTGTTTTCACCTCCACAAAATCACTAAGTCTACGCTATCATTGGAAATATAGGACCAAACTCAAACCACATAGCTCAGTTGATGAGCACTAAGCTTGTTTTGTTGTACAAGGGTTCAATCATGAATATGGTATTAACTATTTTGATACTTTCAGCTCAACTGGTAAAATGAAGATAATACACATTTTGCTTACAATTGTAAATTGGTAGGATTTCCAATTCCAATCGATTTACATTTTCCAACTTTACAAAGCTATCATGGCCTAAAGCAAGCACCATAAAAATGATTTCCCACATTCTCCAATCATCTTCTCAACAGAGGATTTAAGACTAGCAGTTTTGATCTATCTTTCCTTTCATATATCAATAGTTATACACAAATTTATGCTTTTATATATGTTGATGAAATACTCATTACTCAAAGATCATCCATTTCATCACAAACATTTAACAAATGTTCAATTAAAGGAATTTGTGGAGTATCTCTTTCTACCTTGCATTCTAATCACTACTACTGCAATTGACTTCATTCTCAGTGACCAAAGAAAAATATGTTGAGATTTTCATACCTATTATATACTATTTTTGATGATATTGCACTTTAAAGAAATGTATTTTTGATGTTTTGTTGTAGGAATAAGGAATTAGGGTCATTGGAGCAAAAAAATGCAAAAATGAGCAAATTTGGAGCGAAAATGACCAAAATGTGAAGATTTGAACTAGGCCACCTAGCCCCCCGACGGCGCCCTCGATGCCACCGACGACGAGATTTTCCCGAGACTACATCAAAAATTCTCTAGAAGCCCGCCGACGGCGCCCTCGAGGCCGCCGACGGCGAGATCGACGGTTATGCCCACTCAAGCTTTGGATAAGGCCAAATTTTGAATGGATGCTTAGACAACTCTTGGGAAAGCTCATCTACAACTTTAAAAGAACATTTTGGCCGAAAAATAGAGGGGGGGATAGTGTGCTTGAGGTCCTGGAGGTTAGAGAGGTTCCATTAGTGTGTAACAATTGTGAGGATTTCTTCGAGAGATTGTAAGAGTGGAGGGAAAGTGAGAGATTTCTTCCTCCTTGCTACTTCGAAAAGGAATTCCGTGTGTTGTAAAGAAAGGAAGAGATTCAGAGGAACTTCAAGGAGTGTTCATGGGGAGAAATTAGAGATAAGTTATTTACTTATTGTAGTTTGTACGACTTTGATTTTATATATGAATTCCAAGTTTTGTTGTGTTTTCCCCATGAGATCTGAGTAGTTTTCTCTGTCTTTCTCCTTAACTTGAGATTTGTGAAATGGTGAATTTAATTGGTAAAGTCATGAAAATGTTTAGAAAATTATGATGATCTTTTCACTTAGATCTTAATTTACTTTCAATCAGGTCAATTGATTTGTTAAAATATGTTGAGTTTTACAACTAAAGTGAAGATTACATCCAAGATTCAAGGAGGTCAAAGCCCTTGAAAGTTGGGTGCAAATAAATAGGGAAATATTA